GAGATATAAAAAACAAAGAGGGCGCCCTTGTCGTAATCGCTAGCGCCACACAGTATAGTCAACGGGAACTTTCCATCACTTCGATGTTTGGATATTGTTAACAATTTTAACACCGGTCCCAAAAAAAGACAGTCCTATAAAGCCCCGGCAAAACAAATTCAGCGGACTTATCTTTTTTCTAATCACCGTTATTCATTTATGTTCATTTCTTTTTTACTTGTTTTTTTTAATGATACCATGTGATCACAAATCCACATTTCCACATCATGATGGCTGTCTGTGTACTTTACAGTAAATTCAATTTAAACTTATTTTACTTACATCTAGTTTGACAAGATTAAATTCAAATTGTCATTTACTTCATTTAAACACCATTTAAACCATCGGTCGGGGAACCGGGGTTAATTACCCCAAATGGGGTAAAATGAAATTTTTGGGGATAAAAATGAAACTTTTGTGAGTAAAAAGTATATAATGAAGTATAACTTCTTTAGAATCGTTGTGATTTCAAACTCGATGAAACGAAATGAAACGAAACGAAAAAATATGTTTTTTTTTTTCAAAATTATCATGGGAGCTATAATATGAAAGATGCTAAAAAGAAGCGATTTCGTTTTTTTTTGTTCTTCGCCATGGGGTAATATCAACTTAAACAAAAATATTTTGGGGTAATAATTAAAAAAGTTCCCCGACAGTTGATTTAAGCTTGTCCAAAAAAATCTAATCTTTAGTAGAGCACCTTGCGAGACTGCACTGATAGGTACCACCACGCTGCTTATTTCTGTCGCGAAGTAGCAATATGTTTCAATTTTAAGGATAGGGTTGCCATTGTACTATGAAACTGAGACTTAGATGTCATATCTCAAGATCGGTGGCAGTAATTACGTTGTTTATGTCAATGGGCTCCAGTAACCACTTTACAAAAGATAAGTCGTAATATTGTCCACCCATCTAAGCAACAAAAAATATAAAGTAGGTATGATGAATTATACTAATTAACATTATAATTTAAAGTGAACAACTTACTTTCTAATGTCCTCCCCATGGTCTGCTTTGGTCCAACAGTGAGGTCTAATCGTCCCTGATCCCCATTCGACCTCAATGTCAAGCTATGACGTACGTATATAGGTATAGCCACAACGCTCTGTGATCCTATATGGTACGACATCAACCGGAAGTTACCATCGGGCGGTATGAACGATAAAATACGTTCCGCCTGAGAACAGATTGCATTAGTTCAAGAATTTAAATTTAAATGTTTATAAAATAAACGTTTTATGAATCTCTCATAATCTATCTGTTCAATTTCAGTTTTACTCTTTAGAGGTTGAGCAATTTTTGCCAGATACTTAAGACTTTGTCAGATACTTGAATCAAAGTATAATATCTATAGATATCGGTAAATAAGTAAATAAAATAACATCCACATATTAAAATGCTTGCTTAATAACTTGTACGTCATCTATCATAAGTTTATTGTAATACGACAAAAACCTTATTTAAAGTGCCAACAACTGCAAAAAGTTTCAACTCAAAAGACGTGTGAGCGCTTTTGACAAACAAACACGTATACAATTTATATTAAATTAAAACAATTTATACTATAGTGTGTACATAATAGTAGCAATATTACATATATTTGATGGTAATTTTTTTTTAAAACTTCAGCTATATTATTTGTTATAGTACTGTTATAATTAATGATGTCTCGCAAGCTCCCACTATAATAACAGTGATGTCAAGAAAATAACATTATGTATCTCTGTCAAAAGATTTATCTTCAACTCCAAAATTTAATTATTTAAATTTATAGTTACTCATTTCTAAACGGAACTATACTTTTCGCCAAAGCTTAATTTTAAATCATATATTTAATATTTCTTGTTAAATGAACTAAAAATCGACTTTATTGACGAAATCTCTTATAATCAGTTTAGTGATGAAAACACTCACCTCCCAACGCTTAAACCGCACACACGGATGAAATGAAACATCATCAAATAATCTTGGATTTACAAAAGTGAGAGTAAGATCTGGCATTCCGCTGAGTTTAATACAGCAATCAATCTGTAAAATAAAAATATTGTAAAGATATTTTTTTACTCTTGTTGTCTGTTGCTTAAATGCAACCCTAACTTATTTATTCTAATAAATATATTTCAATGTTAGACACAAAAAAAAAAAATTGAAAAAGTTGTCCAGTTTTATCTGTGATTAGTTGTTCCTGATATCTGAGAAAATTTGCTCATCTACATCAATTAAATAAATAAATAAATATATAAATAAATATTTACTAACAATCACGCCACGTCAACCTGTCCCGTGATAAGTTCGTAACGAACTTGTGTTACAAGAAGATAACGGAAATAAATGTAAGATTTTTATTATACACATACATACATATATTTAATATACATTCATAACCCTGGAAAATACATTTACATTTATCATACAAATATCTTCCCTTGGCGGGATTCGAACCCGCGACCCCCGTATGTAGTGACCATGTCACTTACCACTACACCAGACGGCCGTTAAGTTAAGCTATGTTGACTACATTACATAAGTTAGTTTTAAACATACATAGCCTTGTATTTCTGCATTTACAGTAGCTCCACTTTTGTCAATAATTGCATCAACTTCTTCAACTACATCAAAGTAAGCTTCATTGTTAGCATACTTTACACCTGACCTTCTCCAAGGTACATTTGACAGCTGTCCAGATGGAAGTGTAGAGGATACACTAAAATTATAATTTATTTTTATATATTTTTGATGAAATCTATATAAATAGAAATAAATGTAAAACAGTTCATGTGAAAGCAAGCATTGAAAAGATTTCAAGTCGTCGTGGCCTAAAGAATAAGACGTCCGGTGCATTCGTATCAAGCAATGCACCGGTGTTCGACTCCCGTTGGCAGGTACAAATTTTCCTAATGAAATACGTACTCAACAAATGCTCACTATTTACTTCCACGGTAAAGGAATAACATCGTGTAATAAAAAGCAAAACTCGCAAAATTATAATTTGTGTAATTACTGGTGGTTGGACTTCTTGTGAGTCTGCACAGGTGGGTACCACCACCCCGCCCATAAGTAATAAATAAATAGCAATCAACTCAGATATTTTACTGTGAGTGGGAGTACATGATTACATTACATTATATTATCAAGAACTCATAAACTATCAATTTAATAGCGTTTTGGAGTTTTTATGTGTAATTTGTTTTAGAACAAAACTTAAAAGTTGATGCAACTTACTTTGATTTTCCTGTAACAGTATTGGCAATTGTTCTTAAAATATTTGGTGGTTTAATCAATTCTTTCAATATATTACTTTCCGTGGCCAGTGGGAAGCCATTATCTAACATTTCATCCAATAACTGAAAATTTAGACTTAGTTAATAAAATATTTACTATAAAAATTATTATGACAAAGCAATATATCTCAAATATTTACCTCATACACAACCACATAATTTTCTTTAATTATTGTCTCAGTGCAATCTGAAAAGTAGTCCTGAAATAAAAAGAAATTTACACCATCAAGTTATTCAATCATTTATATCAAATACTATCCATAGACTTCTATTTCTTGGAATTTAAATTTGATAGTATGAACACTGATTCCATTAATTTACTAATAATCATTATTCAACAAACCCTTTACCTGAAAAGTATCAACAACTCTATGCAAGAACTCTATAACAAATAGTGGGGCAACTTCCTGCTTACAGACAGCAACAAGTGCAACTCCTCCTCTATGAATTGATATGAGGTAATGATGTGGAGCAGCCAACACCGGTGGTACATCCTGGAATTTTAAATATTCAAGACAATAAAATGATAAGACCATAAAACAGTTTCTTAACACTATTAAAAAGTCAGTTTATCTCATAAATTGTTTTACTACATTTTCACTAATTCCCCACATTAAATATCTTCATGAATGCAAAGCAATTTGAAATCATTTTTAACTTAGCTAAACATCTAGTCTGAATTATTATAAGTACGAAAAATACAAACGGGATGGCGAAATACTAACATTAGGTGATGCTCTCTGTGCTTCCAAATAGTAATCACATACTGAACGAGGAATCACACTTCTCCAATGCTTCTCTAAAAACACGTCGCTGAAAACATTCCAAACAAATTTTATAACTTTCTAAGCATTAATATATCCTTGTAAAGGAGTGAATACAAAAAATGTGTACAAACCCCGAAGGATTTATTATAAATAAACTGTGTATCATGTTTTCGACAGATTCTTAAGTTCAATTTTTAGCAGTCAATTTAAATGTTTTAATTTAGCTACTTAGAGAAACAAAACTCTTGCATTTGGTGAGATTCCATAGACCTATGAGATTCACATTTGGTGACTGGTGTCAAGTGATGACAACTGACAGATATTGAGGCAGCTTGACAGGACAGTTTTTTTTGTTCCGTACCTAGCATTGACATCAGGCCATTAATACCTTACCATAGACTTAATAAACTTATACCTTAGTTATATTGCCACCTTAATAACACGAACATACGGCTCACCTAGCGGTGAGTGATCATCGTCGCTTGTAGAAATTAATGACGCTCAGACAAGCCGCTGCCTACTGCTCAGGATTCTTCACAATTTGTTTAGACATTTCTATATGAAACAGTTATTACATAATATGAATCCACTGGAAACGAAGTCAGACAGTGCATAGGTTGGGTTACTTAACATACAATTTATAAAATAAAGCCACAAATTAAATTAGATTCAACAAAAGTTTCAGATTCAAAGCCTGATAGTCGTTAACATATCAGCATGTCAAACAAAATAATATCAAAATTTATAAACTTTAAACAAATTGACTGTTTACACAGTAATTGTACAGATCATTGTATTACTAATTAGAATACATTCATGGCACTAATTTCATAAAACTATAATTCATTCTGTCGTCTATGTTCTACTCTGTTTACCAAAGGAACAAACGAGAGATCTTATCCCAGCATCGCGATTAGGTTTCGCCGTAGATGCTCCCAACGTTCGCTTCGACTGCGTGCTAAGCGTCATCGTCCGGGTGGGCTGGTGATATATTCTGATGTGACTCTCTTCCACAGACTCTCCACAGGTACTTTCCGAAGCAGCCGTGGCCCGAAAGGACCTGGGTGAGACTCAAGGAGAGCACGCCGTATCGCCTATCCGACCAGGCCTCCAGTATTGGCACTAGGGCATCGAGCGTGCGCTGACGGATCGCCGAAGTTCAGCCGAACCCCTTCAGCAACGCTCCATTCACTTGGCGTACGCCAGACGACGTGCAGCACACCTCCACCGATCGGCAGCCGACGGACTAGGTGTATGTTCCCAACCAGAAGACTGTGTATATTGCAATTCTACGAAAAACCATTTAAGAATGCCTTTGTCAGGCTTTAAAGTTTGAAAATCGAAGCAATCAAGACCATGCAATAAGAGGCACTGAGCATTAAGCTCTGTACATTAAAAAAGAAGGACCAATATTAAAACTCCAGTGGTTTTTGACAAATTAACATTTTTCGTTCATTTAATGTAGAATATAAAATATTTTAAAATAAAAATATGTAGCAAAAACAATATATAAAGTTAATGTAACAATTTACATCCACAAACCATTGTCTTATTCTTAATTTTTATGTCTAATAAACATTCCAATACAACCATAGACTTAATTTATAAAATTATATTCTTCATTTTATTCTCCTTGTGTTAACTATTATCCTTAACAATTTTAAATTCTGATTTAGCTATTTCTATCATTTTTTCTACACTACAAATCTTTTCTCGTGGTTTTCCACGTTTTTTACCTTCTTCAATTTCAAACTTATCTATCTTCTGCCAACCCTCCCAATCAACTATATCAGTCTTGTCTTTTACTATATCTTTGAATTCAGCAAAGCCACTTTTACTATAATCAGCTTTGTTTTTCAGATCATCACAAATCGTTTTTGCTACTTGAAATGCATTTCCCATGGTGTGCAGAATAACACCCACTGGTCCAGTACCAAGCCATCCTGCTACGTACAGTTTTCCTAGCTCATTAGCTTCGTCAATAACACAACCTCTTTCATTTAAAACTAGCCCATTACTAAATGGCACATCTTCATCTGCTTTGATACTTTTGTATCCGATACTTCTGAAAACTAAACCACAATTCACCACTTCAATTTCATCAGTCGGAATACACTTTTGACTCTCCCAATTTTCACCTTCAAGTTTATTACAAATCAACTCTATACCCGTTACATTATTTTTATCATTAATTAGGAATTTTTTTGGGCTTCTGAAAAAAATCGGCTTAAACATTTTTGTATTATTAGAGATGCTACATGTTTCATTTTCGTTCAAAGACTTCAGCATGAGTTCAGTTATTCTTTTTCTAGGGCGTGGTAAATTAGGAAGTTCATTGATGACATTTTGAAAATCTTCTGGCCTCCATACAGTCTTACAATCTCTTAATTTCAATTGCTCTCTAAGTTCTTTAATAGTGAATGCCACTTGAAGTGGACCTCTTCGACCAATCAAATACAACTGTTTGATTTTTGATCCTGCTAGAATATTTAATGCATGTTCTGTAATATCAGTTTTTCTAAGTTCATCAATAGGACTTAAAAGTATTCTTGCAACATCTAGAGCTACATTGCCTTGACCAAGAATAGCAGCCATGTCACAAGATAGATCAATCTGCAAAAGTTAAAGTAATTTGCATAATTAATCTTTCCTTCAAAGAGAACATTACTAATTTTGTTTAAGTATACCTCCAGGTCTTTATTACTAGGTAGCCCATTATACCATCCAACAAAATGTCTGGCTCCAATAACATTCTTGGCGTTTTCGTTTTCTATACCAAGAGTTTTATCTTTTTCAGCACCATATGTCTGGAACAGTTACAAATTAGTGATAACTGAGAGATAATAGAACTAGTGAGATTATAACTACTATTGCACTAGATACTCCAGATACACTACCAATAATACTGCATCATAATGCTGTCTTAGTTGATTTAAAGTGATATCTTTTCCTAGAGTAACATTTCCATAAAAATTGACCTCTGGTCGTTGAGCCACTTTGGTAAATTGATTTATCACATTTTTTACTTCAGGGTGATCTGGAGCTACACCATATCTAAAACAGATTTATCATTATATAATGGTAAACCTTAAAAAAGTATATCTTAATTAAAACTAGTTTTGCAATTTGTTTTATTATCAATATATTATTTCTGAAATTTGGTATACTTGACAGTTTTCATGATCCTGGATTACTACCCTTATACTATTACAGATTGAACATAGCAAATAATATAACGTAAATAAAAGTCATGAGATCAAACTGTAAAAGTAGCTATAATTGTGTCTATGTAATGTATTATGTGCTCATAAAAACTGAAGGAAATTCAAAAGATTACTTTATTTCAAAACATCAAAACAAAAGGATAATTTATAAAGGGACAATAATTATTAAAAGTATGAATGACATGTTACAGATTTTTTAACACACTTTATTAGCTTAAGCTGTATGTATGTCTATAGTGAATATTTCAATGTAAATTTCACAAGTTCTAGACGTCCAATTAACTTGATATTATCTGCAACTTATGAAGAAAAAAATACACAATAAATTAAATATACTGAGCGTAATCACTATGGTAATAAAAATTGTAACAAGTTAAAGATTTAATTCTCTTGAGATCTGTAGATGTATCAGAGGCCAACCACAATTTATGATAATTTTAATTTTACAAGTTAGAGACTTAGAATTCACTGATCAATTTAAAGTTTTATTTTTATTTTTCAATGTAACAAGTTCTTACTGTTATAAATAAATAATAACATATATAAATTATAGTTCAAAACCAAAAAAAAACAGCAAGCAAAATAAAAACGTAAAAAAAAAAAAAAATTGTTCTAAAAAGAATGAAGTGTCATCAAATGTTACAAATATTATTTATTGGTATTTATAATAATTGGTTGTTATTTGTAAAAGTAGTAGTACTTATTGCAATAATTTTATAAATGTTATTAAAAAGTACTTAACATTTTATCCTAAATAAATTATGTATTTCATTTATCTACTTATTTTATTTTTTTCAAATTTCACTAGGATTTAAATTTCAAACTATTTCAATAGCCCCGTAAAACATTATTAGTCTTAACATTTTGTACCTTACCTAATTAATCCGAAGGGTACCGGAAGTTTTTCTATTAAATCAATTTTGCATTGTATGTTTTTCGTAAGATGCATGGCGGCATAAAAGCCCGCAGGACCAGCTCCAACAATACATACTCGAGGAATTTTTGTGTAACTTGTTGCTGAATAAAATCTGTTCAAAGTTTTTAAACTTCCGAAAGTCATCTTGTTTTAAATTTTATCAGAATCATTGAAAACCAGGAACACTTTAACCCCAAGCTTAGTTTGAATTTCTAACTTAGAAAATTATACTTGTAAATTAGGCGAATGAACACGTATTGATACTTAGTGATGAGTTAGAGTAAAATAACTGTTTTATTTAGACTCTGTCCTGTTTTTAAATACTATATTTAACGAAAACAATTTATGTTTGTAAACATTTTAAATGTGCTATTTTGTAGGTACCAGAGTCAGAGGCTAATTTTCCTTTACTCTTTGGATTAATTAGAGATTTCGGAATTCGGATCACAGATTATTAAATTAGTACCGTAAAATGGGGCGTTTAGGGATTGAGAGGCGAATCGGGAAAAAACCGGGAAAATCTTTCGACGCTCAATATTAGTTTTATATTCGTTGCAAAATCTTCCATTTTTTGTAGTTTAATAGTAGAATGTTGAAAGTTCACAAAACAACTCTGAATATGCATGATAATAGCTGCTAACTTATAAAAAATCGCGTTTCAAATTAACTTTCTGTGGTGGTAATTATTTTAGTACTAGAAACTTTGCTCTCTTTTATTTATTTGATAATAATAGAAGACGACTGGGATTTATAAACGTTATTTAGTGTTTGAACCATCATATATATTAAAGGTAAGTCTCAGTTGTTATTGGTTTTAATGTATTTGATAAAATAAAAATACATGTAAAAATCTGTTGTTTTGGGGGATATTAGGGACGTCTTAGGTACAAATAACAACGAAAAAGGGGTCAATTGGGATGAGAATACGTGAAATGGAAACGACCTAAGTACAAATAGGTACAGGTTTGTAGGGTTGTCTATGTAGTTATAAAAATATTTTTTAAATTTGTTGGTAAAAATTTGGCTTATTCATGATGTTTTCGTCTAGAACTTTTATTTAAAATTAATCAATGTGTTATTTTATTGTTTGGTAAATATTTATATTATCAGTTACGTATTGTTTTCTATTTTTAGATAAGCCCAATCGTTCGAATTTAGGTGCTTACTCTCCCATATACAGAATCATTTGGGACAACAATAATGTCCACGGTAGCGTGGTCTCCGTCAATGTTCATTCGGAGTTGTCCGATTGCGCTGAACTAATTTTAAGTGATGAAATAGATGTTTTTTTTAATTGTCTCACAACTTACAGGAAAAATCTGTCGCGGATCATTTCCCAAGTAAATATAAATTAACCGTAAGTAAATAAATGTAATCAAGTTTTAATTACATATATATTATCACTTTGTTGGTGCAACTAAATAAATAAATAAGTTAAAACCAAGTAGTGCCAACCCTAGCAAATTTCTCATTTCGTCCCAATTAACCGCAATTTCCGGGTAAATAGGGATTACACCTATTTTTGCTTTTTTTACTTAAACTGGAATGCTAGTTGCATAGTTTTAAATTGGATAACAAAGATGCCCCCAAGACTCAATCATTTTGATCCTGATATAGCATTATAAACATCAAAAACTACCATAAAATTGGTCATAAAGTTGGAATTTGTCCCTAATCGCCCCATTTTACCGGTAGGTATTATTTTTGGGATTTGACCTTTTTTGTTGTTGATAATTTCCATTTTTTTATTCATGTTTTGAACTAACAAAGGGAAGGAAAACTCGCCATCAAATCTTTTATAGCAAAGGTTTGATAATATGTTGGAAATGTATTAAAACTGCAATAGCCCTTTATCAACGAAAAAGTCAGTTCCCGTGATTTTCTTCATTTTCCCACATTTGTGTGCGTGTTTTCATAGACCTTAAATGTTTAATTTGCCACCATTATTACACGTTTCAATCTGAGGAAAGAACAAAATAAAATTCATGTATCTTCAGCTCTTGGATTCCTGCCGAAACTAACCCAAATGAACATGAAAGTCAACCGGACCATTCCAAAAATTTCCTCTTAAAAAGCGGACATAAAAACGATATTTAGGTACAACTGTACAACAAAGAACTTTTTACTTTTAGTGATACATTTTAACATAGAAAGATAGTCTTTCTAATCTCTACTCCCCGCTCCACGACTCCATTATTAAAAACAAGCAAAGAAAGACATGACATATGCAGGCTGTCAAATGTAACAAACGTAAAAACAATAGGAACTTAGAACTGAAATTTTCAAAAGTCACAAAATAAGAGAGATCAAAAAATTTAGGAAAACATAAAAATTTAAAATTAGTTATCATATATAATACTTTAACTGATTACGTTTTGATTCGTCCATTGTTTGTTTTTGGTAGTAATATGTCACATGTAACCGATGTGAAATTTCTTGTTACTAGGTTATTTTCATTGAAAAATAGGTGAGTAAATTTTGAAAATAATTGTGTATACGTAATACAGTGCGAGTAAATATTTGTTCCGACTTATTGTAAGATGTATTGCAACATTTACTAATAGAATTAATCCACCATTCACAAAACAATTAGCAAACTAATTAAATATAAAAACTGAAGTTTAGCAGTATGTATGTTTGGTTTAGCGTTACTAATAAAAACACTTTCAAAGACGATAATATATAACAAAAAAAATTACAATATTGATTCACCTACAGTAACTGAAATGAAATGAATCTATCCTTGCTACCTGTTTAACTAAACTTTTAACAGGGTAACAACAAAATGTTAGTAAAATTTCCATAATAAAATGTAGTTATGCATTTATACATCTTTTTACAATATTATGATGATTGCTGAAGTAGATAATTACCATACTTTGAACGATCCAACTACGGTGACATAAAACATTGATTAAGTTCATGCAAAGCTTGTCCTACAAAATATCCCTTGATAGCTTCACTGTAGAAATTTCAAAATATAAACTACTGTAAACTGTGTACTGTCATTCTAGAATTAAAATTAAGCTGCACCATCCTTTAAGTACTATTATTATTAATCTCAATAGATGATAGTTAATATGATTATTAAAATTATTAAATATATTAAATAATCATAATCATCAATAAACTTTAAGGGATGACTGGCTGCAGAAAATACAATAAATATCTATTTACAATATATATCACAGCCAGGACCAACTAGTAGTAATAAGACCATATGATCTGATAATTGTAGAGAATGATTATTAATAATACATTACAGCTTCCAAGCACCAAAGTGGAACATTAGAAAATTCAGTCAAGATGGAGATAAGTTATCACAGATTAAGGGCAGTGTTACACCATTACCTCCACTCTCAGAAGCTATGCTTAATCTACCTCCGGTCACATATTCTGTAGCTAAATCTGAAGAGACCATCACTGAAGTCACAACTCTTAGTAATGGCTTAAGAGTTGCTTCAGAGAAAAAATTTGGACAGTTCTGTACTGCTGGCGGTAAGCTTAAATTGTAGTAATTTTCTGTTTATATTTGTTTTCTTGGTTTTTGTGTGTTTGTTACTTTCATGTAACAATAATAATATCGACGCTTGAAAGACAAACGTGACTAAGAGACAATGCGTGAACTTTACAGTAGACTAATTGAGTCGACTATTATCAAAGCCGGCAATCTGACTGTTGGACAATTATTGGTAAACCAGAAAAACGAATTATTGACTTTGTATTCCATTGGCAGTCACAAAACTCTTCGGAACGACATCTTAGATAAATAACAGGTTAACTATTAACCTTTATTTAATGCCGGTTTTGAACTGTATTCTTTGAAGGAGACGATTATATTCAAATCAATCTGTATTGACATATCAATAAAATTTTTTTGTCCAAATGTACAGATTGCCACCTTTGATAATAGACGACTCAATTTAAAGTTGAAATAACTGAAAAAAATATATTTTAATCAATCTAGCTGTAAGATGGAAATGATTTTAATAGACCTAGAAATATATATTTTTTTGCACATCTACTTAATATGGTTATTGCCTATCATTTATGTAGCCTAGCAGTTATTGTGGCTTAGTCACATGTGCCTTTCAAGCGTCGATATGAATAGTTTGGCACAGGTCAGAATGCAACCGAGATAGAGACAGTGAGGGTAATGCCTCAAAATAATTTTGAATAACACTAACCTGTTTCTTGGTTTTAGTAGTTTTATTGTGTGGACTAGTGTATATTACTGCATAAACATTCGTCAATAAGCTCATCACGCACCTGGTATTTATAATTCAGAAAAAATGAATTATATTTGGTATTGTTAAGTGTTGCTTGTATCATTGACTAGTCATAAACTACCACTCAACTTTTGGCCATATCATCATCGTCAATATCAACTCACACAGTTGTCCATTACTGGACATAGGCTTCTCGCAATCCACACCACTGGGCCTAGTCTTAGGGTCTCCCCATCCATATGTTACGAGCCATTCTATTGCATTTATTTAGGGGTATATTTACGTTAAATCACAAACCAACAGATATATTGTCCTATAGATATAGTAGTTATACGTAACGTCTCCCAGTTCATATCATTTACATGATAAAAGTATCTCATATCCAAATAACAAACTACCTTTGTGAAAAAACTTCATGATGAGTAACAAACATCCAAACGTACAATTTATAAAATATGTATAGCTTAATTGACTTTTATTTCTTTTCACATGTAATAATCTAACAATGATCTACATTGAGGTTTGGCAGTAAAAAGAAGCCCTGCCTGCCCTGCCAGACCTTGAATAGAATTAGATATTTACCATTAAAAAAGGACCCTCATATTAAAATACTACCAACTCTCTTTTTTCTTGACCGTTTGTTAATTTTCTATAGCTGTCAAAAAAAGAAATTCACAGTGTAAAATAAATAAATGTAAATGTATGTTAAGAATTCATTAGAACAAAAATGGTGGTAAGAACCTTTAACAGGTAGTAGTTGTATTCATAGCAGATAGGATAAACACAAGATCAATTCATAAAATGTTATTAATCATATTTAATTCTTATCTATATATAACTCATCAAAATCTTAAAATATATTTGATATATTGTACTTTATTTTCAGTTGTTATTGACTCTGGCCCTAGATATGAAGTGGCTTATCCCAATGGAATTTGTCATTTTCTCGAGAAACTAAGCTTTGGGGTAAGTTTTAAAAAAAACTACACAATTCAAATTGTTAGTAGCAAGAATTATGATTGTGATTTTATCATAAATTGTATAAAATAATTTGTTCAAACCTTAATAATAAAATGGCAATAAATAAATAAAAAATATTTATCACCAAATAATGAAGTTAAGTGGCCGAACCCGAAGCTCATTCAATGCATTGAGTCACTCAGCATAACAATGTACCAGTATGCCTATGGTTTTCTAAATTTATATGAAGTGTAAT